AGTTCCATCAAATGCTTTCATGGTCATTTGCCAGCCATCAGCATTTTGAGCATATGAAAGCTTTCAGTGGAATTTGAACCAAAAAATGAGAAATAAAAGTGAAATATTCTCAAATAATGCGAAATGCCAAAGGGTTTACGCTGAGCTGAATGAGTTCCTGTGCGTTTCCATGATGATTTGGTATTAATCTTACTGCTCCTCAGTAGTCCACAATTTCTATCACATTACTTTTGATTGTCTTCAATCCGCTAACGTATCAGATTCATCTTGACTTCGCGAATTACACAAATCTGTAGCGAGATTGGATGATGCACGAATTGGGTAGGCAAGATTTATGGTTGGACCTCTGTTTGTAATATATAGGTATCCATCCGCAGAATATTTGAGCGGATTTCAACTGATATTGACGATTGATTTGATGGAAAATTTTCAGGAATGTCCTCAAGTCGAAAATATTCAAATTGTGGTCTTCAACTGAACCCAACACAATTGATTCTGGTACGAAAAACATGGCAGCACGCACGAAATCAAGGCGCTCTTGAGCCAGCGATGAGTATTTTCCGAAACAGCTTTTTCAAGAATGCCGAAATCCGATCTCTGATGATGTACGGATCAAAGAATGTTGGCCATGAAAGACTGAAGGTATTCGTTCAACATTGATGTTGCAGTGGTAATGTACTGAGAAGCACGGCGATATGACCATATTTGCTAACTTAAGCATTTGGGATCAATACCGTGGAACACTTTTTTCGTCTGTTCCTAATCCGTCTGTCTGTCCTAATTTTCCTCCTAATCATTTTTGATCAGCATCATTCACTTCTGAGTGGGGATAAGAAAATCTTTAGCAACTGAAACGAAAAATAAAGAGTTTATCATTTCTAAACATGAAATATTCCGCAAAGGGCAAAATTCAGTGCGGTGATAACCGACATCCGCAATTGCTCACCTTTCATGTGAACTTTGAAGTCATACGTATTCATGATAATATGACCAAATGTGCGTCTGCTTTATTTTCTAACAACTCTAATTCCTGTCTGTGATCTTTTCGACATCCGATCGTCACAAAATAATGTAGTATTGATCAGTGAGATCTTGCATTGATCAATAATAACATTATGACGGTAGTATTCAATAAGAGACAAGATTTGCCGCAGAAAGCCAAGCCAAGACATGTCGTAAATGCGTTCGCAAACTTACTGATCTGGATG